TTATTTGCCGCCCCCCCCCCCCGCTTTTACCCATCTTATATACCCTAACCATCTCTTCTTGACTTCCACAATCTTGTGAGCTGAAACGCATCTTATCCTCACCTAACTTTTCCTGTTTTAATATCATTAATATGTCTGACTGTATCCATTCATATAAGTAATCATTCCATCTGTCTGTACTCCATTTTGTAGCATCTTTCCAGCCAAACGCTATAACCGCATGGGCAGCTAAAATCATAGCTTTAAATAAATCCTGATATGGTATTTTACAGTTCCCTAAAATGCGATGGCTCAAGTGGTTATGTGGTTAAGACGCTGAACTGCAGGCTGTGGAAGGTCGGTAGTTCAGCAGTTCGAGACCCAGGTGCCGCAAGACGGGGTGAGCTCGTCTCTAGTTCCAGCTCCTGCCAACCTAGCAGTTCGAAAGCAAGAAATTGCAAGTAGATAAATAGGTACCACTTCGATGGGAAGGTAACAGCGTTCCATGCGCCTTGGTGTTTAGTCATGCCGTCCACATGTCCACAGAAACGTCTTCGGACAGCGCTGGCTCTTCGGCTTTGAAACGGAGATGAGCACCGCAACCCTAGAGTCGGACTCGACTGGCTTTCGAGCAAGGGAACCTTTACCTTTTTAAAATGGTTAAGATGCTGAACTGCAGGCTGTGGAAGGTCAGTAGTTCAGCAGTTCGAGACCCGAGTTGCCACATGACGGAGTGAGCGCCCGTCTCTAGTTCCAGCTCCTGCCAACCTAGCAGTTCAAAAGCAAGAAATTGCAAGTAGATAAATAGGTACCACTTCGATGGGAAGGTAACAGCGTTCCGTGCGCCTTGGTGTTTAGTCATGCCGGCCACATGACCACGGAAACGTCTTCGGACAGCGCTGGCTCTTTGGCTTTGAAATGGAGATGAGCACCGCAACCCTAGAGTCGGATTCGACTGGTTTCGAGCAAGGGAACCTTTACCTTTTTAAAATCCCCATGAATAATGCTTTCCCTGATAACTATACTTTAACCTTACATACTTCCTCCACCTTTTCCAATATCTTTTGCCAAAAAATTAACCACCGTAGAACACCCCCACCAAAGATGTACATAATAACCCTTTTCTTTTTTACAATGCCAACAATCGGATGTCAATCCCTTGATCCTATAAGATAGCTGAGCAGGCGTCCTATACCATTTCAATATTAATTTCATCTCCATTTCTCTAAATTTCCCCATTTTTATATCACTAATACCTTTCATTATTTTATTTATCTCATTTTCTGATAACTTTACATCTTTCTCCCATTTTGACTGTATTATACCAGTCATATAAATTTTTATCTTCAATCAATTTGCTATATATCTTTCTTACAATACCCTTTTTATTATCTTCTTTAATTGCATACAATTCTTCCATCAAGGTGTCCTCCTCCGCTCCTAACCACTACACCAAACCAGCTCCCTGACATAGATCAGGTTTTCCCACGCTTGGGAAAATGAGAAGTCACTTGCAATGCTCCCTCTAAGCTGTGGAGTCCTGTGAGCAAAAATTCCACTTTGTGAGCTACCGGCATTAAAGTTTATTTATTTATTTTATTTATACATTCGGCTTAAAGTTGTGAGCGAGCGGTTTGGCTACTGCATCAATTAGTTTGCTTCCTGAGCAAAGACAAAAATGTGTGCGCCAGAGGCTAAAAAACTGTGAGCTAGCTCACACTAACTCAGCTTAGAGGGAACACTGGTCCCTTGGTGACTGATGGACAGTGGGTTGGACCCAGACAGCTTCTTTAGCTCAATCTCACGTCCTTGTCTCCTCTTTACTACAGTCCCTGAGCTACGTGGATTCTGTCCACGCAAGTCCCTTGATAATCTGTTTGGGTGGTCAAAAGGGGACCTCCTCCTCCCTTTTCCACCGAGGGGAAAGCTGGTTGGAACCAACCTAATATTTTCAGGG